GAAGCAAATTTACACCATACACTGATGTTTCTGAGCTGAGAGCTTCTTATAATGTCTATAAGGCAGTTTATGCTCTAGCACACGCACTACATGACCTAATGCATTGTGAGGAGGGGAGAGGACCATTCAGTGAGAACAGATGTGTTGACATATCAAATCTAAAACCTTGGCAGGTAAAACTTAAATGTAAAAGTGCATTTATATTCTATTCATTTAGAAGAGAATAATGTGCAAAAAAAAAAAAACTGTAATCTTACTCAAAATGTCTGGTAAAAAGATAACAATCATCTTGTCTACAAATTGTGCAGCTGGTTCACTACCTTCAAAGAGTGAAATTTACCACAGGCTTTGGGGATCATGTGTCCTTTGACAAAAATGGAGATGCTCTGGCCATCTATGATGTGCTGAACTGGCAGCTGAGCTCTGAGGAGTCAGTAACTGTCAGAAGAATTGGTGTTGTAGATGAAGGGGTGACAACAGGGAAGGTGTTCACACTAGATGAAAATGCAATATACTGGAACTTTGAGACAAATAAAGTAATTATCAAAACATAATGTGACTAATGTAAAAACAGATCATACAAACAGTATAAAGTCAAATCATGTCTGGCCTAAATAGCAACAATTAATGTGTTTTTCAGCCTCCACGGTCTGTGTGCAGTGAAAGCTGCCCCCCTGGAACTAGACAAGCAACAAGGAAAGGGCTTCCTGTCTGCTGTTTTGACTGCTTGCCATGTGGAGATGGAGAGATTTCCAATACAACAGGTGAGAAAGTATTATTTTTAATTTTCCTCCGATAACAAACAAACAGTTGATTTAACTATTAAAACGCATTTCTTTGTTTCTCATACACAGATACCACTGAGTGCATAGCATGTCCAAATGATTTCTGGTCCAACCCAGAAAAAGATCAATGCATCCCAAAAGAAGTAGAGTTTCTCTCGTATGAGGATCCTTTGGGCATTTCTCTGACCACTGCGGCCATGCTTGGCACTTTCATCTGTGCTCTTGTAATGACCATTTTTGCTCATTACCGCAACACTCCTGTAGTACGTTCAAATAATTCAGAGCTCAGCTTCCTGCTTCTGTTGTCCCTTAAACTCTCTTTCTTGTGTGTGCTGCTGTTCATTGGTCAGCCACAGTTGTGGACGTGTCAATTAAGACATGCTGTGTTTGGCATAAGCTTTGTTCTGTGTGTCTCCAGTATCCTGGTTAAGACTATGGTGGTAATAGCTGTCTTTAAATCATCACGACCCGAGGGTAAAAATGCCATGAAATGGTTTGGAGCAGCTCAACAAAGAGGTACAGTCCTGATCCTAACAGCTCTTCAAGTTTTGATATGTGCAGTCTGGCTGTCAACTGCTTCTCCAACACCTCATAAAAACAGCCGGTATATCAGATCTATTATAGTATATGAATGTGCCATTGGCTCAGTGGCTGGATTTTCTCTGCTGCTGGGATACATTGGACTTTTAGCAGCAGTAAGCTTCCTGCTGGCCTTCCTAGCCAGAAACCTTCCAGATAGTTTTAATGAAGCAAAGTTCATCACTTTTAGCATGCTGATCTTTTGTGCTGTGTGGATTGCATTTGTTCCAGCATATGTGAGCTCTCCAGGGAAGTATGCTGTGGCTGTGGAGATTTTTGCCATACTAGCTTCTAGTTTTGGCTTACTGCTAGCAATATTTGCCCCGAAGTGCTACATCATTATATTACACCCAGAAAGAAACACTAAGAAAGCCATTATGGGAAAAGGTACAAAAAATAAATAGATCTATTTGCTGTTAGTAAAACCTCAGACAAATATGTCTTTGAAATGAATTTGTTTTACTTGAATGGGAGAATAAACAATAACAATAACATAAAACCTCTAAAAAATACAGTGCATCCTTAAAGAATTCATGTCACTTGTTTTGTCCCTTTTATGTTATAGCCTTAGTCCAAAATGGGTTACATTATTTATTGTCCTCAACACTCTTCAGACAATATCCTATAATGATCAGGTGAAAAAGGTTTGTTTAATATTTGCAAATGTATTTAATATTTAAAAACAATTTGCTGGGCAAACAAGGTCACAGTTTGTTAAGTACTTTGTTCTTTGAGCACTTGTGGCACCAATTACAGTCTCAGGTCTTTTTGTGTATGACTACAACTTTGGCACACCTTTTAAGCAGTTTCTTCCATAGCTACATCTGTAAACTACTGATGACCATCTTCTAAGTTTAAAGTAAATATGTTGTAATTTAGATTATTCTGGCATAAAATGACTGATGCTAAATCATTTACTGGGTTATTTTGCTTGAGACACAAAATCTAACACAAAACATCTAAGAAAAATTTTTTTTGCAGTGTACTTACACTGCAAAAAATGTTTTTCTCACTTGGATTTTTTTCTTGTTTCTAGTCCAAATATCTACAAATTCTTAAATCAAGAAGCTATTTCTAGACAAGCAAAACATTTTGTCTTGTTTTAAGAAATAATATGACAAAATGAGGTTTTTCCTCAAATCAAGCAAAATAATCTGCCAATAGGGTAAGCAAAATAATCTTGTTTTTCGATTTGTGATAAGATTATTTTGCTTACCCCATTGGCAGATTATTTAGCTTGATTTAAAGAAAAACTCACTTCATTTTGGCATATTATTTCTTATTGTATGGTACTGTAGCATATCAGGGTGTCCCATGTTTGGAACCTGGCTTGAGAACCAGCCCCATCCTTGACTACAGTGCATCTGGAAAGTATTTGTTTATTTCCTCCAAATTCTACACACAATACCTCATAATGACAATGTGAAAAAAAAAAGATTTTTGAAATTGTAAATTAATTAATAATTTTATTAAAAAAAAAAAAAAAAAAACTGTAAAATCACATTTACATAAGCATTCACAGCCCTTGCTCAATACTTTGTTGATGCACCATTGGCAGCAATTTCAGCCTCAAGTCGTTTTGAATATGATGCCACAAGGTTAGCACACCTGTCAATTTATGCCCATTCCTCTTTGCAGTACCTCTCAAACTCTATCAGGCTGGATGGAAAGCGATGATGTACATCCATCTTCAGATTTCTGTCAACAAGGGTTGAAACCTCTGATCTTTGAGGGACATGAAATAGAGACAGTTGAATGTTTTAAATATTTAGGAACATCTATTGATCGTCGATTATCATTTGCTGCAATTGCAGAGTGCATTTTTAAAAAAAAAGGAATGCAGAGATTATATCTCATTAACAGGTTACAACAATTTGGTGAGAGTCAGGATGTTCTGGAGATGGTATACAAGAACTTGGTTGAAAGTGTTGCGAGTTTTAACATGATGCATGGTATGGACTGTTACCAATTAAGGAAAAGCAAAAACTTTGTCGAGTAGTAAAAATTGCCATTGTAATTGTAGGTAAAGACAACCAAATAAAGATTTATTCAATGAGGGTTAAACAGAAAGCACACATCATTATTGAAGATTGTTCTTATCCCTTAAATATATAATTTTTAAGCTCTTGTCATCAAAAGGACATTTTGGAAAGTAAAGAAAATGTAAAGTAAAGAAAAATGTGTATCAAATGTACTTTGTGCCGACTGCCATTATTTAAATACTGGGTTTTAAGAATGTACAGGGTTTCAAATTATGTTTTTAATGTGATATATATGATGAAAAAGAAAAGAAAAAAAAAGAAAAATGATTGAATAATACTGGATATATAAGCAGCATAAGATAGTAATATGAATATGATGAAAAGTACATAATTTTTAAGAATAATTACAGGTGATAATTAAAACATTAACACAGTGTTTCTCAACTGGTGGGTCGCGGAGTGTGTGGTCAAAAAAACAAAAGTTGAATTTTTTACTTATGTTGACTTTTATTTTGAAATGCGTGCCCGACAACCCTACCGTTTGACATGTGAAATTTCATTTAACTATAGCAACAAATATGTCGAAGCGCAAGTACGAACCTGAATATGTAAAGTTTGGATTTACATATATTGACGACAAAAAAGACTTAAAGCCTCAGTGTGTCATAACTAGGAAGGTGCTCTCAGAGATTATGAAACCATCTAAATTAAAATGACATTTAGAAACCAGACAACATGTTTTATTAAATGTTCAGTTTAGTTCATGGTAACTAAACCTTTCCTTACCCTAACCACTGTTTTCAGTATTTGTCGTTTTTACAAGTAATATTTCTATAATTTGATACATTTTGTTAAATGACAGCAATAAAATATTGTTTATTTGTAAGTATTATTTTTATATATTTTAACTGTCACTACTTGTATGTTAACAAATAAATACAAATTAATTATAATTCCTAAAATTGTATTATAGTTCCTAAAAATCTGGGTCGCAGCTTGAAGACCATGTAAAAATGTGGGTCCCATGGCCAAACCAGTTAAGAACCCTTGCATTAACACAGCAAACAGCATCAGCAATTTCAAATACACTTGCTCTAAACCAATCAGATTTAAAAACCACAAGAAATGCTGTACATTATATTATATATTATAAAGTTCTTTATATTATATAAAAATATGTACAACTTAGTAAAAAAAATCTTTAAAACTGTTCACAGAAAGCTAATTTCTAATGACTCTAATGATTGTGACTTCTATTGCTGGTTCATAGTTAACTGTGTTTAATTAGAGTTGGGTTAAAACTAAACAGTTTTGATGTTGCTGTCCTAGAAAGAAAAAAAAAACTAGGAATATACTGCCATCTAGAGGAATATCTAGGTATGTGGTAGGTTTATGGGTGCGACAAACACACGTTTGTGTGTGTGTGTGTGTGTTTGTGTGTGTAGCTTCAAGTAGCCTTTTGTTTATTCATTTAAAGAAAGGCCATTAATAAATTTACTGTTGAGTTAATAAAGAATTCCATTAAGTATTAAAAAGGAATTATTCTTGATTTGCTGGGATGTTAACATGGCACCGCCTGTTTATTAAGGCAACGCCCTCCAAAGTATTTATTATAAATAATATCCATAGGGGTGAGCTAAAAAGAAATGTGGAAATGTGGATCATTGCAAAAATCTGCCTGTACTTGTCCTTCAGTTGTATCTCTGTAGCTTCTATCTTCAGATCAGGTCCCTGTCAGCTCCAGGGGCAATTCAGGCTGAACGGGATGTTCCAGGAAGGAGATCTCATCCTTGGAGGGCTATTTGAGGTTCACTTCCTCACAGTGTTCCCAGAGCAGAGCTTCAGAACAGAGCCAGAACCACCATACTGTGAGCAGTGAGTCTGGGGTCAGACTGGACCAAGATTTCTTATAAATACAAAATGAATATATTAAATCAAGACGCTACTTAAGAATTAACAGTTATATGTTTTACTTATCAGAATATGTAAACAATTAATGTTTACCATAAAAAGCAGCTCTTTAAGAATATAAGATTTTTTGTCAGGAATTGTCTTGTATCTGCAAAGATTTTCTGAAATATCAGTTCTGAAATAACATAATTTCTTCTGCTCTTTATAGATTTGATATGGCAAGTTTCCAGCAGGCACAGACTATGGTCTTTGCAATAGACGAAATCAATAGGAATCCAAACCTGCTTCCGAACATCACTCTTGGTTATTATCTTTATGACAACTGTGTCAAGTTGAGTGTGGCATTCAGGGCTGCTATGGCTCTTGTTAGTGGCACAGAGGAATCATTCTCCAGCCTAAACTGCACTGGCCCTCCACCAGTGATTGCCATAGTGGGGGACCCTGGATCTACCCACTCAATTGCAATCTCTAGTATATTAGGGCTGTTTAGAGTGCCTATGGTAAGTGTGAATGTGAAATTTGTGGGGGAAAAAATCTAACTGTACAGACTGCATTTAAATTGCCAAATAAATAAGAGTAGAATTTACCACACACACACACACACACACACACACACACACACACACACACACACACACACACACACACACACACACAAGCAACAACAGAAATCTTATTTACAGCTCATCTGTGTCTCTTCTATAAGGTTAGCTACTTCGCAACCTGCTCCTGTTTAAGTGACAGGAAAACATACCCATCTTTCTTCAGAACAATACCCAGTGATGCTTTCCAGGTGCGGGCTATGGTTCAGATCTTAAAGCGTTTTGGATGGACCTGGGTTGGTCTGCTCTACAGTGATGATGACTATGGAATCTACGCTGCTCAGTCATTCCAGAAGGAAATGCAGCTCTTTGGAGCATGTGTTGGCTTTTCTGAAATGCTGCCTCGTGATAATAACCATGAAGATATCCAGAGTATTGTGGAAGTGATTCAGACTTCAACAGCTAGAGTGGTGGTGGTGTTCTCCACAGAAGCCTATTTATTACCACTGATGGATGAGGTGGCATTGAAAAATGTGACAGGCAGGCAGTGGATTGCGAGTGAAGCTTGGGCCACCTCTCCTGTGTTTCATACTCAGCATCTCCTGCCCTTCCTTGGGGGCACACTGGGCATTGCAATAAGGCGTGGGGAGATCCAGGGCCTTAAAGAATTTCTGTATTACCTCCATCCTGACAGCAATACAAGGAACAATATTGTAAGAATCTTTTGGGAGAACATTTTTGGGTGCAGTTTTGAGATTGGAGGCAGAGAGAGAAAGGTTTGTACAGGGCAAGAAGATCTGAAAAGCACAAACACAGCATACACTGATGTATCAGGACTGAGGGCCTCTTATAATGCATATAAAGCTGTTTATGCTCTAGCCCATGCACTTCATGACCTGATGCAGTGTGAAGATGGGAGAGGACCATTTAGTGGAAACAAATGTGCAGACCAAATCAACCTACAGCCCTGGCAGGTACAGCAGAATTTATTTATGATACACAGAAGTGACAGAAAATATTACATTGATACAAAATACAAAGCAAGTCCTGTGTGCCCTGTGCAGGTAGTCCATTATCTTCAAAAAGTAAACTTTACCACAGGATTTGGAGATCATGTGTCATTTGATGAGAATGGAGATGCTCTGGCCATCTATGATGTGATGAACTGGCAGCCGAGTTCAGATGGTGCAATAAGTGTTAGCACAGTTGGTGTGGTGAATGAAGGGGCTTCAATGAAGATGGTGCTCACACTGAAGGAGAATTCAATATTCTGGAACTTTAAAAACAGAAAAGTAATTAATTTATCATATTATTTCTCTCCTGATAAAATATATAAAAACTATTGGTAACACTTTATAATAACTACACACTATGAATCATTTACTATGAAAGCAATAGCAACTAATGAATTCATTATTTATTAAGCATTAACTCTACATTAATAAACGTTAGTAAGCAGTTTATAATTGCAGCTACAAATGCTCTATTCTTGACTTATAAGCACCTATATATTGTGCTTAATAATTGTATTTTCATAGTTAGTTAATGATTTATTTTTCATTACTAAATTAAGTATCGCATTATTTACAAACTAGTTGTATTTAAGAGTAGTTGAGGGTTTTTAGGATAATTCAGAATGAGTTAGAAAATGATTAATGAACTATTGAAATCAACATTTATATATCTTATTATTCAGGCATATACTAATAGTTAACTAATATGTTAATAAATGCTTTATTAACTCAACTTCATGCAGTTTTGTGACCTAATCTAAAGTGAGGACCCTTCATAAATCCCTTATAAATGTCAATCAAAGGCTCTTAATCAAATGAATAATAATCTTTGCAATCTTTTCTAAAAAGTAAAATTACTGTAAAGTTTAAACATTTTAACAGCAGTGTTAAATACGGCATAAAACTGGATTAAACAACAACAATATAATTATTAAACAATAGAATAAGATGCAATGTTTAAACTTAACAGTTATTTTATTTTAGATAAGGTTGCAAAGATTTATTTTTCTTTTGAAGTACAGTTTCATTTGTATATCTTTAAATGAATAGGAATGACTACTGTAATTTTTCCTGTTTAGAATTTAACTGAGCCTATATTTGTCATTTATAAGGGATTTATATAGCATACAGTCCTCACTTTAGATTCCCAAAACTAGATGAAGTTGAGTTAATAAAGCATTTACTAACATACATAGTAACCATTAATATATGCCTGAATAAAAAGATATATAAACGTTGATTTCAATAATTTATTAATCATTTACTAACTCATTCTGAATTATTCTAAAAACCCTTAAATACTCTTAAATACAAATGGTTTGTAAATAATGCAATACTTAATTTAGTAATGAAAATAAATCATTAGCAAAGCATGAAAGTACAATTATTAAGCACATTATAAATGTTTGTAAGTCAAGAATAGAGCATATGTAGCTGCAGTTATAAACTGCTTACTAATGTAGAGTTAATGCTTAGAGTTAAAACAGATAATGAATTCACCATTTGATTATGCTTAATAAATGATTTATAGTGTGTAGTTATTATAAAGTGTTACCAAACTATCTTGTACTACATTCTTATACTTTGGTTTGTTACTATGAAATTGTATATGGTTTGAACCTATACTTAATGATGGATGAACATACATATTACAAAGATAAGTAATATTATATGCTGTACCCCTTAGCCCCCACAGTCTGTGTGTAGTGAGAGCTGCCCCCCAGGCACCAGACAAGTCAGGAGGAAGGGCCTTCCTGTCTGCTGTTTTGATTGCCTGCCATGCGCAGATGGAGAGATTTCTAACACAACTGGTATAAATTCTACTACAAAATTGTAATTAAATTGAAAAGGGAACCAAATAATTGTTTGTTTTTTTTCATACAGATGCTATTGAGTGCAAAATATGTCCTGATGAGTTATGGCCCAATCCAAATAAAGATCAGTGTGTCCCAAAAGAAGAAGATTTTTTGTCCTTTGAGGATCCTCTGGGCATCTCTCTGACCACTGCTTCCCTGCTTGGCACCTGCTTCTGTGCTCTTGTTATGGTCATCTTCTCTCATCATCGTAACACTCCTGTAGTTCGTGCCAACAATTCAGAGCTCAGCTTCCTGCTACTTTTGTCACTCAAACTGTGTTTTCTGTGTGTGTTGCTGTTCATTGGACGACCAAAGTTATGGACATGTCAGTTAAGGCATGCTGCATTTGGCATAAGTTTTGTTTTATGTGTCTCCAGTATCCTGGTCAAGACTATGGTGGTAATAGCCGTGTTTAAATCATCTCGGCCTGAGAGTAAAAGTGCCATGAAATGGTTTGGGGTAGCTCAACAAAGAGGGACAGTTATGGCCCTAACCACCCTCCAGATTGTGATATGTACAGTTTGGTTAAGCATGGCATCCCCAAAACCCTATAAAAACAGCCTGTATATCTCCTCCAAAGTTGTCTATGAATGTGATATTGGCTCAGTAGTTGGTTTTTCTCTATTGCTGGGATACATTGGTCTTCTGGCAGCAGTAAGCTTTCTATTTGCCTTCCTGGCAAGAAACCTTCCAGATAATTTTAATGAAGCCAAATTTATTACATTCAGTATGTTGATTTTCTGTGCTGTGTGGATTACATTTGTTCCAGCTTATGTGAGTTCACCAGGAAAATATGCAGTGGCTGTGGAGATATTTGCAATTTTAGCTTCCAGTTTTGGATTACTGGTGGCTATATTTGCCCCAAAGTGCTACATGATCCTTTTTCATCCAGAGAGAAACACTAAAAAATCAATCATGGGAAGAGCCACACAAATTAAATAGTTTAAACTGACAATTTAATAGGGAATAATAAACAAATGTATGATGTTATCAGTTGTTTTCTTCAGAAATGTATTATTTTGGTTGATCACTGATCATTTAAATAAAAAAAGAGGCAAATGCAAAGTGTGTGAGCTAAGGTGAAGCCAATCTGAGCCAGAAGTGAATGTGGTAAGGAATACAAACTCTTTTGGGTGATTCAATCCATGCAGTTTTAGTTCATTTCTAAAGAACTTTTCACAATAATTATTGTTCCAAAGCAGCCTTACAAAAGGTGCACATTTTTATTTTACAGATGAAATCTGAAAACATAAGAACTTGTGTATAGAGTGGTCATTATATATAAACATAGTTAACCTGCAGTCAAAAAAAAAAAAAAAATACAATAGTATAATACAATATACAATAGTATATTGTGTCCTTCCAAAAAAGGTGTTTTCTATGTGTACATGTATAATGAAATGTAAAACTAAACCATATAGTACAACACCTTAGATGTCCAGTAGATGAATCTTGTGGTCAAAACCACAAGTGGCAATATGCAACTGGGCAACAAAGACAGTACTTCAAAATGACATATTTAGGGAGCCTGAATCTTATTATATTTTTGATATCTGTTGTGGACCAGAATGTGTTATGGTTCTGGCTATTCCATTAATTAATCAAGCTCAGTCTTTAGGTTTTAAAGAGCCCCTATTATGGGTTTTTGAAAATAAACTTCCATGCAGTGTGTAACTGCTCTAAGTGAATTGAAATATTAAGCTATGGCTTAAATCTTAACGTAAACCATGTTTAAAACTATTGATTAATCAGAATGTGGAAAATTAAAACCCCCAGCCCTGCCCACAAAAACTTTAGAAAGAAAAAAGAGGAAGACACTGTAGCAGATACTGGTTGAATCAAGTCGCATAGATGTTGTGCACAAAAGTGTGATGGAAAGTTTTTTACGCATGGATCAGGAATGTTTGGAATAAATTTGTGAAGTAATTCTGGAGTTATATAAAGTCTCATATTCCATTTATATTGCAGAAGTTTGAATCATGTATTAACTGTCTGGGTTTGTGCCTTTAGACAGATACTCTGCCATTCATCTTCTGTGATACTCTCACTCAGATCTTGACACCATGCCAACCATTTATTGTCTGTATTTTCTTTGCAATTATTGAAGATTAGTCTGTAATAATAATAATAAAGAAATTTGCCCGCCCCCATCAAAATGGTTTAAAGTAATATATTCTAAAGGCGATTTATCTGGCAAAACGGGAGAATGATGCTGTGTTTTATTAATAATATGTCTTATTTGAAATTATGAAAAAAAAAGTGTTTTAGGTAAATAAAACTTTTGTCTTAATTCTTGAAAACTGAGCATAGTTTCATTATTAAATAAATTGCTCACCTTTTTCAAACCTTTTAAAGCCCATATTTTAAAGCCAGTATCATAAGTCCCAGATGTAAAGTTAGCGTTACCCCAAATTGGTGTAAATTGTGATAATTGTAGAACCTCGCCTAGATGTTTAATAACTTCATACCATACCACAGTAGTATTTTTAATGAAGGAATTAGAATAGGGGTGCTAGGTACAAGTACAGATTTAGGGGCAACTGCCTGGATGTGCTAATCTTAGTCCGTAACCTTGGAGTGGGTTTTTTCATTTATGAACCAAAACATTGCAGCTCCCAATTGAGCTGCCCAGTAGAACCATTTGAGATTAGGCATCTGCAATCCACCACGTTCATATGGTAAATATAAATAGAGAGCTTTCGTCTGGGACGTTGATTTGCCTAAAAATTTGAAAATAATTTCTTTATAATAGGGAAAAAATTTAGCGGTGGAGGCAGGGGAATTATCTTTATTTCCTCTGATTGAGCTAGCCAAAGGTTCAATACCTAATCTAAAATGGAGCGGTGATAGGGGGCAACCCTGGTGTGTGCCACGTGAATGCTGGAATGGCTTAGAAATTATATTATTGGTAAGTATTTCTGACGTGGGGTTTGAATATAAAGTTTTTATCCATTTTCCAAAATAGGGGCCTGTAACGATATGGCCAACCAGACACATAATTATTTTGCTTTTGTTTAACAAATGAGCCAACTTTTTGCCCAAGGAAGACTCAATGGTCAGTTATAATCCGACTCCAAGAAATTTATGACCCAAAGGAATCTGCACACAGTACAGCACAAAAGAACTGAACGGGACTATAAGCTTCTTGCTTTAGACTGATGTTTTAATGTAAACTTTGCCGTTCATGTTTGGAATTGTTTTGAAGCTAAATTGCTTTACTGAATGATTGTTGACATTTTATGTTAATACGAGTGCAACAATAAGAGACTTGAACATTCCTCACTCAGTTTGCATCAAATTTACCTATGCAAATTCCTCTACCTCGGACAAAGAGTCAAAAAGTCATGTCTCTGGGATGTTAGTTTCTAATTGGTCAACTTTCCATCGAGGGTGGATACGAACCCTCCCTATAAAGCTTGTGTTCAAAGAAACGCCCACCCTCTTAAATCCGCTCTCTCTTCAAACTTCAACAGCTCTTTTCTTCTCAAGTCAAGCAATAACTCTTCTCTCAACTCTCTTCTCTGGAACCTCTAAGAGAACTTTAACTCGCTTAAACAACCTAAGAACGAGACCAACACAGAGAAACCTCCAAGAAAGCAGGGGGAGACCCAGACGGAAAGGGTTAATCGCACAGATTGGACATTCACATCTCAGACACCTTCTTTTCTTTATTTTCCATCGAGAGTCTAGTTAAGTTTAGTGTGTCGCAAACCAGTACTCATGTTTGGCCATGCCGCTTCAAACTTGAAACTACCGACTCCACCCCACTTCAAATCTCGCGAGGTCCAAAAACAACCAGCCAGCCACGTGCTCAACAAAGGGAGCTTCTTCACATCACGGACAAACCGCAAGTACATTTCCACCTGAACTGGTGTAAACTAAATGCAACCCTAAAGAGACAATAGAAGGGTGAATTTGATTATGTTTGGTTCGCTTGGTGTTTGCTCTTACAAAATCAGAGGTTTTCCCATCATTACATTCTCTCAACCTCTTACTTTACCTTCTTTACTCTTCTCTTCACTTGTATGAATGTGTGTTTGTGTTAGGTGTTAGTTTCTGTTAGATTATATATATTTAAATATATTTAAATTCCTCGTATATTATGTTATCAAAAATAAAAGTTTATCAGTTCTGTTTTAACGACTTTAAATAAATCAGAGTCAGCTCTTCATGGTTTATGAAATCCAATAACCAATCTTAACAACTTGCATAGTAAAACGTTTAAAGAGTATTTGAAAGCCAAAAAAAAAGTTTCTTTTAGCATCCACAAACTACTGCGCGGTGCAGTGTTCTTCTCCGGCATCCTCTTGCAGGGCCGTGATGAATTTGTTTGCCTCTATAGGGGAATCGAAGAAATGACAGCAGTCTCCACAGATGACCAGAAGCTTGGCAGGGAAAATCATTCCAAATTTAATCTTTCTTCTCCAAAGTTTTCATTTCACTTTGTCAAATCGCCTTTGCTGTTTTAACACCTCAGATGATAGATCCGGAAAAAAACATGATGTGATGGTTCTGGAAAATCACTGTGCCCTTTTCCCAAGCTGCTCTCAGCACTCTGAATTTGTTGGCGTAGCTAAGAAATTTCAGTATCATCGTCTTTGGTCTTGATGAGTTCCCCGCTTGATAGCCACTGGGTAGTCTGTGCGCCTGTTCGATGGTAACCGGCGCCGGGAAATAGTCCGCACCTAGGATCTGAGGTAGACAGCTTTCCAGAAATGAAACCGTATTTTTTCCCCTCAACTCCGTTCGGAAGTCCCAGGATACGAATATTAGACCACCTACTTTCTACATTCGGCCAAATCAAGAGCAGCTGCGGGGTCTGTTGTAGTTTTTTCCAGTTTGGAAACTCTTCCTTGGATGTATATAATGGCATCTTCGGCCTGGCCGATGCGGCTCTCTGCTTCAGTAAGTCTTTCAGTAAAAGAAGAACTCTGCTGACAGAACTTCCTTGTACTAAGACAAAAATTAACACTTGAGACTGCTTATAGCCGAGAGAATGACGTTGTTATCGGGTTGATTTCTGTGTCGGAGTTAGCCATGGTGCCAGTTATGTTGTCTATTTTAGGTGTAAAAATGTCATCAACAGCTGGATCCGTATGATCTTTTTTTTATTCCTCTTACTTTGAGTTTGCAAAGACATGGTAAATGCTTTGTAAAGCAAATATTAAAAAAGAAAGCAAGGATTTAGCTATCGGGGCTAGGAAATTATGAAAATCGACAGAAAGTGTTGGAAAGTGCAGCCGTTCAGCAGCCCGACATAACCGGAAGTCCCAAGTTAGGGTTATTTTTCTTTATAGTAACAGAAAAGAAGCTGCTTAGAGTTGTAAACTCTAGAGCGGTCACATAACGCAAAGCATGAATAGGACACAGCAAAGGTGCTGGGTCTGCCTCCTCCGTGGACAGCACTTGCAGGTTCACTATGTAATCTAAAAAAGAAGGTGCTAAAGGGCACCTAGGTGGGTCGGGTTCTCAGGAAAACGTAAGAGTGGGCCGGCTCAAATTGTTGGCACATATCCTGACAAAACTGCCTCCAGATACCCAACCCTCTTGACCGATGCCAACAAGACGAGCAGAGCTGTCTACCTAAACAGAAATCTTAAAGATACTGAGTTAAGTGGATCAAGCAGACCTCCCCCAAGAGAAATCTCTATGTGGGTATGAGAGGGTGACAGAATTTATTTAATTATCCAGCGTTTCGTGAATCTGGGAACTTGATGGTGCAATCGAGCAGCGTGACAGCGGCTGCGGATGCCATATGCCCCAGGAGCCTCTGAAATAATATCAGTGGGACCACAGTTTTCTTGTTAAACTTGGCGTGCCTTCCCCAGCTGATGCTGACCTGTCTGAGAGATTCATGGCTTTAACCCAAGAAAAGATATGCTCTGCACGGGGGCAAGCCTGCTCTTTTCACGTTTGACCCAAATCCCTAACAGGTCTAGGTGCCGGAGCAACCAGTCCCTGTGCATAATCAATTGATCCCGCATGAGCTATAAAAAACCAGTCATCGAGATAATTGAGAATGCATATGCCTGTTAGCCGAAGGGGTGTTAGGGCATCCTTTGCGAGCTGAGTGAAATCCCGCGTAGACAGGGAGAGCCCGGAAGGCAGGACTTTGTACTACCATGCTCGACCCTTGCACGTAAATCGCAAAAACTGCCGGTGACATGAAAAAATTTGGAAACATAAACATACATGTCAGGTTTTAGTTCAGGTTTAAAGCTGCAGACCAATCCTGAGGATGAATGCACGGGGGGATGTGCTTCTTTATGAGCATTCTGAGAGGCTCTTGAGGCCAGGGGTGGTGATTGTCACCTCATCGCCAGAGCAGCTCGGGTTAGCACGGCCATCGTATCAGATTCAATATCCGGAGCCTTGCTTACCAACCCTTAGGTAAGAAGAGTGTGTGAATTGTCATCAGAAAATGACAGCTCACCCTCCGATGCAGCGATAGACATCTGGTTCTCATCGAGTAAGGGGGCAATCATCCCGGAGGATGGAACGCTTCTCCTACTCGAAGCTTGAATGGAGCGCGCTGAGGAATGGGAGTTCTGCAAGCCCCGAGGGTTGTGGATTGACCCCTAAGATCTGCCCGAGGGTCAACTGCTACTTGCAGGGCACAACAGGAGTGGTTCGCTCTTTTACAAGAGCGAGCCACGATCTTAGCTCCGCAATATACATGCCATCAGCAATTCAGTTTTTCTTGATTGCTTTGATGCAGTCATCAACTGAAACTTTACATTTTCAAAACATTTAAAGGGCACATAGGTTACCCCTTTTTTCATATTTAATATAAGTCTTTTGTGTCCCCAGAATATGTCTGTATAGTTTCAGCTCAAAACACCCATTAGAGTATCAATCACTCTTCCCACATTGCCGCCCAGGTCCTCTCCAGCTCACCTGCCGCCCGGCTCCTCTCCACCTTACCTGCGGCCCAGCCACACTCCAGCCATTCATGGTGTCAACCTGCTCCCCGATGAGATGCTAAGCACTTCGGGGTTCATCATAGGTCAGTTGTTCAGTTCATCACTCATTAAGCCATTTCCAAAAGTAGGCCCAAGGAAAGAGACAGGTAGGGGAGGGAAGAAAAGGCTCCCAGAAATCATCAGTGAAGCTGGCATCAGAAGAGGAGTATCAAAAAGTGAAAAACATCAGAAAAAAAAAAATTAGGGGAGTGAGAAAAGCAAGAAGGTAAAGAAACCTGTCAGAAAAAGGGTGAGGGCTGATAACTCCTCTCCAGAAGAGGAAGATTTCTGTGTCGTCTGCATGGAACCATTTAGAAATTAAAGATCCAAGGAACTGTGAGTCAAGTGTTTTTTATGTAGCTTTTGGGCCCACCAGACATGCACTCCAGGCCTGACCAGTTTCATTTGTCAGCATTGTGACTCTGATTGACTGAGCCAATTTGTTTTGTTTGGCATTTGTTTGTTCTTGTCACCATTGTGACAAAAAATGCATTTAATTTGTTAGTTGTCACCATTGTGACTTACAGTAAGAATGCATTTAATTTGTTTGCTCTTGTCACCATTGTGACAGACAAAGAATGCATTTAATTTGTTCATTCTGTGGAATGGGGGTAAATATGTTTATTAATTTGCCCTCACTTACACGCACACTTACACACACACACACACATATGAATGTGCACGTACAGCCATGCACACACAAACACACGTGCATGCACAAACACACACAATATGCTCATACACTTCCAATATTCACATTTATTGTATTGTTGCAGTCATTTATTTATAATAAAACTGTTGTTATGGCATATCATTTGTAGTGCCCTTAGTTTTAGTTTTTGTGCATTTTGTCTACCTTTTACATCCTACCACATTAGTGGGGTAAATTGTAACTAATGACCACTTTGTATTTGTCATCATCTCACATAGTCTGTGATATAGTTTAAGAAATTTTAATTGGTGACATTTGTTGTAGACAAATGTAGGTACTTTGCATAAAAGTTTCAGTCATGTAGCTATAAAAATTAGGTAGTTTTAGGTGCTAAAGAAAAATTGTGTTACAATCATCCCTGGTCGCCCCTGGCAAGCTTTTAGCCACAGGTTTGACACTTCATTGGGTGTCAGATAAGGTATGAAGAGAGCAGCCAACACTGTCTTATTGCTCTGGACTGGCATTTATAAACTATACAGACAATCAATATAACAAAATAAAATGTAGACACTTCAATCACTTTAACGTGCACACCCATAAAATGATATGTATAAGAAGCACAAGGTGAAAATGAGGAAATTATTTGTAACATTTGGGCCTGGAGTCCTTTGATCCTTCCAGAAATAATTGCCCAGAAATATATCACACCCTTGCTCCCTACAATCACAGATGTCTATCCCTGATCTAAAAGCACAGTCCCTATAGCCCCTGCTATTTACCTTACTTTTTTCTTGTAGAAAATGTTTAAATTCAAGGAATCTTTCTATTATATCAGAATTGTCCACGTTTATTACGATCTTGAACAGATGCAGTGTTCATTGATTGCTTGTTAACTAATGCATTAACTACTGTAAATTAAATCAAACTTATTGTAAAGTATTTCCCAAAAAATGCTAATAAAAATGAATACATTTATATATTTGGTTTTAAGTGACCACAAGCAATAAAGGTGTATGACTGTCACCTAGAGGACATTTTGAGAAAGGCATTGCAAAGCAAATTACATTTTCTCAATTGATCAATCGTTTAAAAAAAAAAAGTACTTTGAGTTAGTTCTCATCATTTTTGTTTAGGACGAGTTTATTTTATTCATTTATTAGTTCATTTCATGACACATTACATTGCATAATGTTATTGGTGTATTACACATTATTTTGTGTTATTAATACATCAAATGTGTAGCATTACATACACAAAATAAGTAAGCATGAAGTACATAGGGCAGAGAAAATTGTGTCACTGTGAATTTTCTAAGTCAAACTAGTCAAATCAGATCATTTAAGTGGTCAGTACTGAAACATACAGCAACTTTAATCAAGAACTGTTGGATCACTACTAACACACTAAACGGAATCACAAATATAAACATACCCTCAAACACTGTACATACATGTTTTTAATAATGTCTTAAACCTCCTACCCTCTTCAGTAGTTTTCAGTCAAATAATTATATTTGCAATTTAATTAGATGATTTACTTTACATAGAGTTAGTAAGCCATGTATTAGTAACATTAACAAATATGCAATTTAAAATTATATAATAAAACTGAGGGAATCTTACACAATAGTGACTCCCTAATTTCCAGGCATGAACCTGGCACCACCTGCTTGGTAAAAGGAACTACCTCCACCCCCTCTCCCCACACATTTATCATAAATTAAAGAGCAGAGTGGGTGAGTAGGTCAGGAACAGGGAAGACATGTGGAGCCCTTTAATCATTTGTCTATATCTGTCCTATAACTTTAAGTCTGCAGCTTCAATCCTTATGGGTTCTTGCCAGCTCCAGGGACACTTTGGTTTAAATGGAATGTACCAGGCTGGAGATGTTATTCTTGGAGGGCTGTTTGAAGTTCACTTACTTGCAGTGTTCCCAGAGCTAAGCTTTAGATCAGCACCCGAACCACCTTACTGTGAACAGTGAGTCTGGACTGGAAAGTACAGTTAGACAAGTATAAGAGAAACATTAAGAGTCGAATTTGAGAGATTCATTTATTTAATTTCAAAATGCATCTTTAAAATGAGTTGTTTACAAAAAAATAAAAATCACATGTGATTTTGTGGTTAAAAATTTAACTTCAAAAATGTTCCTGTTGTTATTTTTTTCTGTCTTAGATTCGATATGGCAAGCTTCCAGCAGGCACAGACTATGGTTTTTGCCATAGATGAGATCAACAAGAACCCAAAACTGCTTCCTAATATTACTCTTGGTTATCATCTTTATGACAACTGTGTGATGCTAGGAATGGCATTCCGGGCTGCCATATCCCTAGTTAGTGGAACAGAGGAATTGTTCTCTAACCTTAACTGTACTGGCTCACCTCCGGTGATTGGCATTGTGGGGGATTCAAATTCCACTCCCTCTATTGCAATTTCCAGTGTTTTAGGACTGTTTCGAGTGCCTATAGTAAGATGGAAATAAAATGAATAATACATTGTATTTTCATTTGGACATGCTAATTTGCACACACACACACACATATATACATAACGCTTTCATTTCTAAACATTATCATGTTTATTTTTAATGGGAACATAATTCCTACAGTTCTTTAATTTTCTCTCTCTTTGCCTATCCTTTTGTTTTTGCCTTATTAGGTTAGCTATTTTGCAACCTGTTCCTGTTTGAGTAATAGAAAACAATACCCATCCTTCTTTAGAACAATCCCCAGTGATGCCTTCCAAGTGAGGGCTATGGTTAATATTTTAAAACATTTTGGATGGACCTGGGTTGGTCTTATCTACAGTGATGATGATTACGGCAACTATGCCGCTCAGTCCTTTCTTCAGGACATTCAGATATATGGAGGGTGTGTTGCTTTTACTGAAATTCTGCCTCTAAATAACAACCGCAAATATATTGAACATGTAGTTGGAGTAATTCAGGCCTCTACAGCAAGGGTGGTAGTGGTGTTTTCGACTTCGACTTATGTGTTGCCTTTAATGGACGAGGTGGTATTGCAGAATGTAACAAACAGACAATGGATTGCAAGTGAAGCTTGGGCTACTTCACCTATGTTTCACACTCAGCGCCTTTTGCCTTTCCTGGGGGGCACACTGGGTATCGCCATCAGGCGTGGAGAGATCCAGGGACTTCATGAGTTTCTGCTACATCTTCGTCCTAAAAACGATCAACATAATAACATGGTAAGAATTTTCTGGGAGAAAATGTTTGGGTGCAGATTTAACCCTGGAGGCAAAGGAGACAAACAGTGCTCAGGGCAAGAGGATCTGAGCAGCATAGATACAGCTTACACTGATGTCAAAGAGCTGAGGGCATCATATAATGTGTATAAAACGGTTTATGCCCTGGCACATGCCCTTCATGACCTGACGGAGTGTGATGAGGAGAGAGGACCATTCAGTGAAAACAGATGTGCTGACATAACCAATTTACAACCCTGGCAAGTAAGGATTAAAAATACTACTCAAAAAAAAATGATTGGAACACTTAAACAATACAATATAACTTCTAGTGTTCCCTTTGATTTTTGAACAGTGCATATAAAGTGCATATTCAAGGTCCATGAATAAATAAAATGAAATGCATGTAACACCTGTCCTGTCAATAAACTGTACAGCTGGTCCACTACCTACAGAAAGTCAACTTTACCACAGGCTTTGGGGATCATGTGTCATTTGATAAGAATGGAGATGTACTGGCCATCTATGATGTGATGAACTGGCACCCAAGCTCTGATGGATCGATAAGTGTCCGCACAGTTGGAGTGGTAAATGAAGGAGCAGCATCAGGAAAGGTGCTCACACTGGATGAAGATGCAATATACTGGAACTTTAAGATAAAGAAAGTAATTAACATGTTAATGTTTTATTGTAAAAATTTCACAGCTTTATAGTATACTTACTTATCAAATATATTAAATAAGACTACATTTAAGTATATTGTTTTTATACAGGCTCCACAGTCTGTGTGCAGTGAGAGCTGTCCCCCAGGAACCAGACAAGCAACAAAAAAAGGGCTTCCTGTGTGCTGTTTTGACTGTCTGCCATGTGGAGATGGGGAGATTTCTAATGTAACAAGTAAGGAGACAGTTATTTTGTTTTGTTATTGGAGATACCATTAATTTTTTTTTTCTCAATGGCTTTGGCACATTTATGTGCAAATGTCAAAATGGTTTGCTGAAAATTCAAAACTTCATTGCATGTCTGCAAAATGTAGTTACTTACCCAAAACATTTAAAGCTTCAAAACCTAGTAATCATGTCGGTAATTTGGCCAAAGTCACCAAAACATAACATACATTTGTCATCGAGTGAGCCACACTGCTCAAAATGTGTTGTTTTTTCACTCTGACAGGCAATGATGACAATTTTCAGTCAACAACATGTTAAAACTAACATATGGACATTTGTATTTATACATTCAATCATTCATTCATTTTCTTTGCAGCTTAGTCCCTTTATTAATCTGGGGTTGCCACAGTGGAATGAACTGCCAACATATCCAGCATATGTTTTATGCAGCAAACGCCCTTCCAGTTGCAACCCATCTCTAGGAAACATCCATACACACTCGTTCACACACATACACTATGGACAATTTAGCCTACCCAATTGTCCTATACCCCATTTTTGGACTTGTGGGGGAACCTGGAGCACCAAAAGGAAACCCACGTGAACATTGCACTGAAAAAAGTGTTGCATGCAGAACTGTTGCAAACAATTTGTTTGTGTTGAATTTAAACAAACAAATTAAGTTTAGTAATGTTCAACTTAATTTGTTTGTTTAAATTCAGCCCAAATAAATTGTTTACAACCTCTTAACATAAAGAAATTGAGTAAATCCAAGGAATCATCTTTGAATAATTTATTTCAGTGTGGGGTAACATGCAAACTCCACACATAAACACCAACTGACCCAACCGAGGCTCGAACCAGCGACCTTCTTTCTCTGAGGTGATACACAAAAATACTACAAAATAGCATCAATAAAAAAATATTCTTGGTGGACATCCTTTTGCTCTTTTGACAGTTTAAATGAGAATTGACTTAATAGTTTTGAACAACAACCTATATGAAAATAGTTTTTGTCCAAACTACAGAAAGTTGAACTTAATGTTTGCACACATGTGCCAATACATTTGCAATAGGGTATAATAAGCAAATTGTTCAGAGAGCTACTTGTTGTTTTGAAAAGTACACATTCAAATCGAGAATTGAAATTAAGCAATTGAGAAAAACTATAAGTGGTTAGCACTGTCACATCAAAGCAAGAAAGTCGCTGGTTTGAGTCCCTGCTGTGTCAGTTAGAATTGCATGGGTTTTCTCTGGGTGCTCTGGTTTCCTTCAACGTTCAAAGACATGCAGTAGAGGTGAATAGAATAAACTAAATTGGCCGTAGTGTGTGTGTGTGTGTGTTTGTGTGTTACAGAAAAAGAGATTGTATAGAGAGAGTGTATAGGTGTTTCCCAGTACTGGGTTGTGGATGGTAGGGCATCTGCTATGTAAAACATATATATATATATATATATATATATATTAAGGGTGTCACCGAAATCGATCGAAATTTATGCTTGATTTCGATTATCAAATCAAAAAATAGAATCGTCGATGCTGCCACGCCCCCATGTCACGTCAGCTTGTCTTGCCAAGCTGGAAAAAACACGCTTGTTGAAGTGCTTGTTAAACTGTGCAGACGCAGGAAACCCATCGACAAAGCTTAAACCTTCAGGGCTCGACAATAAGCACTGCCCGATAGCCCGGGGCCAGCGTGCGAGACGGCCAGTGTACAGTGCTGCCTTGTTGCCTGACAGATCGAGCCAGAGCTGCATGCTGCGACTGTGTGTCAATTGTGTGCAAATACAATCTTACGGTGCTTTCACACATAGACGTTTGTTTCGGAATCTGTCTCGTTTCCCCCGTTAGCGCGGTTTGTTTGGCATTCATCCAGCAGTTGCGATCGCATCCGCGCCAAATCAACCAGTCTGAGATCGCCTGAATGAGACGGTCTCTGTCCTACTGAGCGGATCGATTGTAGTGAGAAAACAAAACAATGCAACGAATTAACGAACCAGGCTATATCACAGTGTATTATGATCGTGTAATAGCCATATATACGGCTATATGAAGAGAGAATGATGAGCAGGGCGAGATGTCTTTCTTACCGGTAAATGCGAAAGTGAAAGCATGCTGAAATATTACCAAGAGCTGTTTATTCAGCCTGATCTCGGTTTATCCGTCAGGAAAATTGATCGAAATTACTATCTGTTAATTTTTCCATATTTTAATCGTATAATATGTTGTTTTAGGCCTGTTGTTTTGTTCATTTTCGCACTGACAGCTCGAAAGAAAGATTTACATTGATCTGATGCAGTCTCGGTTCATCTGCTATGTCTCTCTATAATTTAAGCCTATAATGCAGAATTCTAGCCAATGTTTCTTTAATAGATTGATTAATTCAATAGATCCATTTTTACAAAACCTGACAATTGAAATGAGGCTCTGTATATATGAGAAAGTCTGACCTCGGCTTTATATTCGGTGACGATGTCTGTGGGTTGTTAAAATTAAAGTGCACATTTTTGCTTATAAAATATTCTGTACACAACTGCTCTAAAGTTTGGGGTCAGTATGATTGTTAAATATGTTAAACTAAGCTTCTTCTGCTCATCAAGGCTGCAATTATTTCTTCATAAATACAAATATTGAAATTTTGCACTACAAAATAACTGTTCAAAAGTAGTTTATCATTTAATTTATTTATTCATTTATTCCAGATGATTTATTCATTTTAAAGATGAAATTTCAGCTTCATTACTCCTTCATTACTATATCCTTCAGAAATCACTAATATTGATTATTATTATATTTATTAATGGCAATGGTAATAAAAGCTATAATGTCTGGAATAATAATTTTATTTAAAACTACATACAATAACAAAGCAGTTATTTAGCCTTGATGAACTGAATAAGTTTTCTTAAAAAACATTAAAAAATTACTTTAAATATATATACAGTGGAAGTCTATATTTATACAGTGGAATTATTAGCCCCCCTTTGTTGTTTTTTTCTTTTTAAAATATTTCCTAAATGATGTTTAACAGAGCAAGGAAATGATGATAGTATTTCTGATAATATTTTTTCCTCTGAACAAAGTCTTATTTGTTTTATTTGGCTAGAATAAAAGCAGTTCTTAATTTTTTATGACCTATTTTAAGGTCAAATTTATTAGCCCCTTAAGCTAATTGTCTTTCAGACTGTCTCCAGAACAAACCGTCGTTATACAATAACTAACTTGCTTAATAATAATAATAATATACTTAATAATTAACTTGCCTAATTACCCTAGCCTGACTGGTTAACCTAATTAATCGAGTTAAGACTGCCTCAATCTTTTAGTTTCACATTAGTACTTAGTCATTTTAGCAAACACCTCAGATACTGTTGGCTGGTTCCTGTTAGTTGTGCACCTTTTTTTTTTACCGACGCCATTATAACGACACAGATCACTGCCTATTCACAAGAAAAAAGTGATTGACAGGTGGTAATTATGTGTGAAACTTGCCTTTATTCATTTACTGTATGATTTGTTTATGGGTAAAACAAAGACCATACAGGTCAGGTAGTTTAAATGGTCGGCTACAAATAATCAATTTGTTATTAATTAATTACTTATTCATAATCTAAAATCGAATCGAATCGTTACAGCCTTAATATATAAACACACACACACACACACACATATATACAGTATATATATATATATATATATATATATATATATATATATATATATATATATATATATATATATATATATATATATGCATATATATATATATATATGCATATAAGCAATTTTGATTTCTTTCTTTCTCAGATGCTATTGAGTGCACAGTATGTCCAGACGAGTTCTGGTCTAATAAAGATAAGGATCAGTGTGTACCCAAAGAAGTAGAGTTTCTGTCTTATGAGGATCCCTTGGGCATCTCTCTGACTACTGCTTGCCTGCTTGGCACCTGCTTCTGTGCTCTTGTAATGATCATCTTCTGTCAACATCGTAACACTCCCATAGTACGAGCCAACAATTCAGAGCTTAGCTTCCTGCTTCTATTGTCACTCAAACTGTGTTTCCTGTGTGTGCTGCTGTTCATTGGCCGGCCACAGTTGTGGACATGTCAGTTAAGACATGCTGTGTTTGGCATAAGCTTTGTTTTGTGTGTGTCCAGTATCCTGGTTAAGACTATGGTGGTAATAGCCGTGTTCAAGTCCTCTCGACCAGAGGGAAAAGGGTCTATGAAATGGTTTGGGACAACCCAGCAAAGATGTACTGTCCTCATCCTAACTGCACTCCAGGTAGTAATATGCATAGTCTGGCTATCAAATTCTTCTCCAGCACCCCATAAAAACAGCCAGCATATCAGTTCCAAAATTGTTTATGAATGTGCCATTGGCTCATTGGCTGGTTTTTCTCTGCTATTGGGATACATTGGTCTTCTGGCAGCAGTAAGCTTTCTGTTAGCCTTCTTAGCAAGAAACCTTCCAGATAATTTTAATGAAGCAAAGTTCATCACTTTTAGCATGTTGATTTTCTGTGCTGTTTGGATTGCATTTGTTCCAGCATATGTGACCTCTCCAGGGAAATATGCAGTGGCTGTGGAAATTTTTGCTATTCTTGCCTCAAGTTTTGGATTATTAGGAGCAATATTTGCCCCAAAATGCTATATTATCCTTTTACATCCAGAGAAAAATACAAAAAAAGCCATCATGGGTAGACAAATAACTAAATAAATTGTAATACTTTACTATGGTCTTAAATTGTGAACTTTGTTTGTTGCATTTTATTTTTTATTAATGTACTCATTTTGATCAATATAAGATTATAAAGAGATTTTTTTTGTCCACACACTAGTCCTGTCTTGTCTTGTATGTTGTGCTCAGCTTGAGTTTTCAAGTCTTGTGTTGTCCAGTCCTGTCCAGCCCTGCTCTTCCCTGCCTGCCCAGTCAAGTTTGTTTTTATGTTTTCCTCCTCAGGGTAGTTTTTGTTGCATTTTGTTTTATTTCCTAATTAATAAACCCACATTTTTATCCCTGCATTTGAGTCCTCATCTTTCCCAGACCTCAACCGTGACAGAACAAACTGGCCAAAAGAGGACTCAGCAGACCATGGGCTTATTTCTTTATCCAGCTCTTTCCCAGCAAGAGGATCCCCAAGATTAACCCCTGGCCAGTGAACTGCAGTACCACTGGAAACATCGCCCCTTTAGGGTTTATGCACAAGGCCTCTTTGAAGCAGTCTTGGGGCTTTTTAGTAAACCAACATCATCCATTTCTTTCTGGCCAGATTGGATGGGTCATTTGACTGGGAGAAGCTGGGGAACTTTAAGGCATGGAATTATTGAGAGGTGGTGGAATATATCTGTTTGCAGTAGGGAGCTCCTGCAAAGGGAATTGACCCCTCCTGCAGCCACCACCACCACCTCACAGCCCATGGCCAACCCCCAAGGAAAAACCCACTCCCAAAAGCAGAGGCTGAGGAGAAAGGTATCTTTAGCAAAGGCGGTCAGTGACAGTTCCAGCCCCAGAGTACGCGCCAGTGATGGCTCTTGCCACAGAATGCAGCACAGTATCGGGGGGCGACTCATCCTGTCTTTGTCTGTGTCTCGTCATTGTTGTGAGTGCATGTCCTCGAGTGAGCTGTGCGTTTGTGTCTTTGTAAAGTGAGCATGCTTGCGGCCCGATGTGGCTTGGTTCATGCATGCTCGCTTACTCTTGTTTTTGACAAAGGTGTTAGAGGCCAGAGCTTGCAAAACGACTTCTTGATTTAATCAACATTCCTTCTTATCTACACTGTCTCAGACACAGAGAGACACATGGATTTTTTACCCATTTCACAAAGTGGACACAAAATGGAATAGTTCTTTTTAAATACTTTTAGATTCAACTATATATATATATATATATATATATATATATATATATATATATATATATATATATATATATATATGTATTTAAAATGCAGTTTGAAATATTGAAAATATTGAAAGTTTACTTATTATTGTTTATATATGAATGCTTAGGTAAAGATCAAGCTGGTAAAGATGCTTAGACTTTATATATTTAGAACATTGCCTAAATTAAAAAAAAATTGTAATGTTAAATTAAAAGTGGTTTGGAAAGTGAATTATGCATAAGAAAATAGTTTAACCGTGGACTATGACTATGCAAAAGCTAGGATGACAACCTCCAGTGATCACAGGATCATCCAATCACAATGCTCGATTTAAAAGGCACCATCTATTCAACCTTGGTTTCAAGAGAAAGGATAAAATGTTCTCTCAAAGAAGATATACCAAAAGAGTGGTGGTGATACACATGGTAGTAGTAGTGTGGTTTTCAATGCAAGCGTTACACCACTGAATGTCTACAAGACGAAACAAAAAGATTTCTTGTACATTTCAGGTTATCAGAATTTCTCAAAGAAAAGATAACAGAGTTAGTAATTACAATTCTCAACTTAATCACCTTCATGATTTATGCCTATGCACTTCATTTATTGTACATGTAGTAATGTTAGTTACCCTTGTTTATTCTTTTGTTAATAAACAATTATTTATTACAATTGTGTCTTCCTTATGTTGATAATACAGTAAAAGGTTCAACAAATAGGACAATCTCATATGATTTGATTAAAAATATTTGTTATTTATTTTTACAAAGCTTTCTGGTGCCCCTTTTAAAAACTGTTATTTATTTGATATTTACACACACTTTAAGAGTGGAGTGACTAAAATCTCAATTTTATTTTTAATACTATTAATTTTAATATTCGAGTCAAACCAAATAAATTATCACTACAATAACTGGTGCCATGCATGAGGTTAAAGTATCATTATTAATATCAATACCAAATATTGATGTTAAAATTTGTTATAAAATATTACTACATTAATTAGTGCCCCGTGTGAAGCTAAATTATCAATATTAACAACATCACCACATATTAATTATAATATTTGTGATAAATTTAATTATTACAACATTAATTGGTGCCCCTGTTCTTTTCTGAACTTACCTAGACTTTGTGGCAGGGGTAGTAAACTTGCCCAAGTGGTTAAAAGCAGCTTCAGTTGTAATGTTTGTTCAAGATTCAGAGTTTTTTTTTTATTTATCTTTTTATTCTTTATGTTTTATTCTTTTATAAGGATGAAAATGAGCATTTGTGCTAGCAATCCATCTCTTCCTTGTTTTATGTAAATGAGCAGGATTTGAATGGGAGTCCACATCAGACAGTCCACTGATGCTGTTTTGAACAAATTTTAATGACAAATTAACTGAACTATGTTACTCTGTCGAAAAAAAAAAGTTTTACTTTCATCATTGGCAGAAAGTAGGTCACCATGAGTTATTAACTATTTTTAATGCAAGTTATTGGGGCTTCACCACATTGTAACTCTTTTGGCTGTGAAAAAGTGACAGTGAAGGTGGGCTTGTCAGAGAACAATACATGTTTTACACTGTCCACAACCCAAGATTTACCACTGAAATCGGTTGGCATTTGTACAAGTGACCAAAGGTTTGGCTATAGCAGCCCGGTCATGTATATAGACCCTATGGTGCTCCCGATAAACAATTTTAGTGTAAATGGGAAAGTTGAGGTGCACATTTAATTCTGCAGTGAGTTAGTCAGCTGTGGTTTTAAGTTTTATGGATACAATCCGGGTTGGACATCTCTTTCAGGAAGCTTTTTCTTGGGTCTACTTTTACTCATGTTAAATGTGTCCCATCCTTCTTGGTAGTATGCTGACATTACCCTGGATACCATGACTCCTAACACATCACAAAGACTTGCTGTCTTGATCACGGATGTGCCAGTGAGACACGCACCAAAAATATTCCTCTTTTAAAGTCTATTATTGTATTGCAATATTTTAAGCAAAACTGGGCTTTTACTTTGCAAATTAATCTTTTACACTCCTGTTTATATTGGTTAAATGTGCAACCAATAAAGATTGGACACCAGACTGGTCAAATTTTGTCATTTATCCTCCAACACTAAATTTGTCAATGTTTCAGTTTAATTGCCCAACCCCTGTATATGACAAATCAGTGGGAAGGTGATACTGTCTTTTTAAGGGAGGTACAATAGGCACCACCTGTTATTTTAAAGTAACACCCTTTCCAACCTTCATCATTAATGTGCAAAACCTATTTGGAAAGAGAAAGAGATGTGGATCATTCTAAACATATTCTTGTGTCTGTCTAAATGGATCTCTGCAGATTCAGTCCTCAGATTAGACACATGTCAGCTTCAGGGACACTTCATGTTGAATGGGGTGTACAAACATGGAGATGTTATACTAGGAGGGTTGTTTGATGTTCACTTACTTACAGTTTTCCCACAGCTGAGCTTCAGAGTGCAGCCAAAGCCACCATACTGTGAAAAGCAAGTGTGGTGTCAGAATGATCATAATTAAATGAGTAGTTTCCATGCCTGTTTTGTTTTTGCTGTTACATTGTACTTTTTATGTAAAAAAAAAAAAAAAAAAAAAAAATCACTGTATATTTAACCAGTTGTTTATGTGAATCATTCATGACTGATGTGTGTTCTAACATTTCCCTTTTTTTAGATTCAGTATGGAAAACTTCAAATCGTCACAGACAATGGCTTTTACTATAGATGAGATCAATAATAATCCAAATCTGCTACCCAACATCACTCTTGGATATCATCTTTATGACAACTGTGTGAGACTAGCAATGGCATTTCGGGCTGCCATGTCTCTGGCTAGTGGGACAGAGGAATCCTTCTCCAACTTAAACTGCACTGGCCCTCCTCCGGTGATTGGGATTGTAGGAGATCCAAGTTCAACTCCTTCTATTGCAATTTCCAGTATCCTGGGGCTGTTTCATGTACCTATAGTAAGTTTATAGTAAGAGAGATTTTACACGTACACACACTTATATTCATTTTTCAGTTAAATGGTCATCATTTTACCTCCAAATTTTTCTTTATTCGTTTTTCAATTAAATGTTAAACAAAAAAAAAAAACAATTCCTCTGTGTCTTGTATTCTCCCTCTACTCTAAATAGGTTAGTCACTACGCCACCTGCTCTTGTTTGAGTGACAAGAAGAAATACCCCTCTTTTTTCAGAACAATCCCTAGTGATGCCTTTCAGGTGCAGGCTATGGTTCAGGTTTTGAGGCATTTTGGATGGACCTGGGTTGGCCTTCTTTACAGTGATGATGACTATGGCACCTATGCAGCACAGTCCTTCCAAAAGGAAGTTCAGCTTTTTGGAGGTTGTATCGCTTTTTCTACAATACTGCCCCAGAACAACCCTAGAGAGATTCAGAATATAATGGGAGTCATTCGGGCTTCTACAGCTAGAGTAATAGTTGCAATTTCTACATCATCTTATCTGCTGCCTTTGATGGATGAAGTGGTATTGCAAAACCTGACAGGTAGACAGTGGATTGCAAGTGAAGCTTGGGCCACCACACCAGCATTTCGCACTCCACGCTTTCTGACAATTTTGAGGGGAACAATTGGCATTGCTATCAGACGTGGTGAGATCCAGGGACTTCTTGAATATCTTTTACGTCTCCGTCCTAGCAGTGATCCAAGAAATAATTTGGTGAGAATCTTTTGGGAGAACATGTTTGGGTGCAGTTTTGCATCGCAAACAGTAGGTGAGCAAGTAAAAAAGTTGTGCACAGGACAGGAGGATCTGAGCATCACAAACACAGCATACACTGATATTTCAGGGTTGAGAGGCCCTTATAATGTTTATAAAGCAGTTTATGCCCTGGCACATGCACTTCATGGACTGATGCAATGTGAAGAGGGGAGAGGACCATTCAGTGGGAACAGCTGTGCTGACATAACAAATCTGAAACCCTGGCAGGTAAGAACCACTGGTACAGTGTAGATATTTTCCAGACAAATAGAAGAGCAGAGCTATATTTAACAATAAAAAAATGCTTTATATATTTAATTTAAATTTCAGATAAATATTTAACTCCTGTTATTTCCACAAACTGCAGCTAATCCACTATCTACAAAAAGTGAACTTCATCACAGGCTTTGGGGATCGTGTGTCATTTGATAAGAATGGAGATGCTCTGCCCATCTATGATGTGATGAATTGGCAACCAAGCTCTGATGGTTCAATACGAGTCCAAACAGTTGGTGTAGTAAATAAGGGAGTGACATCAGGTATGGTGCTCAATTTGGTTGAAGATGCAATATACTGGAACTTTGAAACAAAAAAGGTAAATAGACATTACATGTCAATGTCACCATGAAAAGTCAAACAAGAGTAAGTTAACAGAAAACCTTAAAAGAAATTACCAGATATTACTTTTTTTTTTTTAGCCCCCGCAGTCTATGTGCAGTGAGAGCTGCCCCCTAGGCACCAGAAAAGCCAGAAGGAAGGGTCTTCCTGTATGTTGTTATGACTGCCTGCCATGTGGAGATGGAGAAATTTCTAATAGAACAGGTGAAGAGATTATTAGCAAATATTAAAACAATTTCAGTGTCCTCTAAAATTATTTTTTTTATTACATTCAGATGCAACTGAGTGCCTGGTGTGTCCATATGAGTTTTGGTCCAATAAAGAAAAGGATTATTGTGTGCCCAAACAAGTTGAGTTTTTATCCTATGAGGATCCCCTGGGCATCTCTCTGACCACTGCTTCCTTGCTAGGCATCTGCTTTTGTGCTCTTGTGATGGTCATCTTCTCTCATCATCATAACACTCCCATAGTACGTGCCAACAATTCAGAGCTTAGCTTCCTGCTGCTGGTGTCACTCAAATTGTGTTTTCTGTGTGTGCTGCTGTTCATTGGCCAGCCACAGTTATGGACATGTCAGTTAAGATATGCTGTCTTTGGCATAAGTTTTGTCCTGAGTGTCTGCAGCATTTTGGTTAAGACTATGGTGGTAATAGCTGTGTTCAAGTCATCTCGTCCAGAAGGCAAGGATGCAATGAAATGGTTTGGACTACTTCAACAAAGATGTACTATTCTAGTCCTAACAACCATTCAAGTTGTTATATGCACAGTATGGATATCAAATGCATCGCCAACACCCCATAAAAACCACCAGTACATCCGTTCTAAAATAGTATTTGAATGTGCCATTGGCTCAGTGGCTGGTTTTTCTTTGCTGCTGGGATACATTGGACTATTGGCAGCAATAAGCTTTCTGTTAGCCTTTCTAGCCAGAAATCTTCCGGATAATTTTAATGAAGCAAAGTTTATCACTTTTAGCATGTTGATCTTTTGTGCTGTTTGGATTGCATTTGTTCCAGCATATGTGAGCTCTCCAGGGAAATATGCAGTGGCTGTAGAAATTTTTGCTATATTAGCTTCGAGTTTTGGTTTACTGATGGCCATATTTACCCCAAAGTGCTACATTATTCTTTTACATCCAGAGAGAAACACCAAAAAAGCCATCATGGGAAGATAATTGCAAAAATTGCTGTTTTCCATTATTACACAAAAGAGACTTTTCATGAGAGAAGCTTTCTTATATAAAAAATGTATATGTATGAAATGCATATGAAAAGCTAGAATTTAAATGACTTGTCCTTTTTCATGTTTAGGTACAAATGACACACTTTTGGATGGCCAGTGTAATTTACTAGGAAAAGTCTAATTTCATATTTTACATTTATGTGAGTAATTACAGAGGAGGATCTACACATGCTTAATGATGTCACAAAGAAGGACCACCAATATTTATAATTAAAGTCATGTTGAAATAAGCCACCTCAATTTCTTTATACTGTAAAATCACATTTTTTTTTAGAAATCACCTATTGGTAAAGCTTGTAACCATGCTTCAGTTAGTAGCACTTAAGTATAAGGACCAATTTTATTTAAGTTGCTTAATAGCAGTGGTATACAAAGTACTTGAAAACCATACTTGAGCAAAAGTTCAGATACCTTACTAGAAAATGAATTTGGTAAAAGTTAAAATCACTGCTTAGAAAATTACTTGAGTAAAAGTTTAAAGTATCTGATATTTATTGTTTCCCAGAGATGGGTTGCAGCTAGAAGGGCATCCACTGCGTAAACCATAAAACTAACCACTGGTTAGTGATTCATTTCCAGTGGCGATCCCTGACTAATGAAGGGACTAAGCTATAAAAAAAATGACTGAATTATATTTAATGTATTTAAGTATCAACAGTTTTTTTAATTTTTTTTTATTTAATGCTACTCAAGTACTGAAAGTAAAAGTTAATGCTGCCAGTAAATAATAGCCCCTTTCACACAGTGATACCGGTAATTATCTGGAAAATTTCTGGAACGACTTTACCGGTATATTTATCGGTATATTCGCCTGTTCACACAGGCGAGGACGTTACGGATTTTTTTCCAGAAAAGACCGTTCACACATTCATTCCAAAATACCGGTAAATTCTGACATCATTCACCACAAATGAGCCTTAAACGGCTGCGCTTGTATTTGTAAATATTTGACTACATTATAAACTCTGTGGATGATCAGTATTGTGAACAACTTCGATGAAAACATATGGAAGATCACTTTCGCATGTCGAGATGTTCATGATTTGTGCGTGTGCTGGCGCTTAAAGGCTGTTTCACAGGCACACGCAAAGCTTGAAGGTAAACAAACAGCGGCTTATCATAAGCATCTTATCGATTATTATTTACACAGTTGACATTAAGAAGAACATATAAACGTTATCTCACTAACTTCTAGCCGCTACATGCGTCTGGGAAAATATTCAAAGGGTTTTATTCTCATAAACCGCACGGACGTAAACGCGTCTGACTGTTCTGATTGGCTAAAGCAGACGTCTCACGTCAGCACGTTCTAGACGTGCACGCGCTCTTTCCGGCAATCTTCCTTCTGCATTCACACAGCGCAGCATTCCGGCAAATTACCGGTAATGTTACAGCTTCTCTTTCCGGAAAATAGCCAGAACGAATTTACCGGTATTTTCAAAAAGGACCTGTTCACACATACAACCTTTCCGGAAAATTGCCGGTAATTTTCCGGAAAGGTCTGTATGTGTGTGTCATGTTTACCAGCGAACAACCACCAGATGTCGCTGGTAAACACACACACACTTAGAACTACACTTTTCCTGGACTACATCTTAATACATGCTCTTCACCCACACACCTGCTTTCTCATTTAGCTTGATTTACATTCACACCTGAGGACTTTCAGAGACTGATTAACACACACTATTTAAGCCACACATTCACTCCTTCAGTTTTGCCTTTGAGTCTTGTTCACTGTAAAGTAGCATTACAACGCGTTTTCCTTTTCTTGTTTTCCCTGTGTTTTGAACCTAGCCTTGTTTATTTAGTTATCCTTGTCTGCCGCCTGCCTTTCGACCTCTTGATTGTTAAACTGACTACGATTCTGGATTGTCCTCACATACCTGTTTGCTCCCGTATTGACCACTGCTTGCCTGACTGTGAATAAACCTGCATATTGGATCCTACCTTCTGTTGTGGTGTTACTCCCCGGCATTATAGTTTGAAAGGGGCTAATGAAGCATGTTCCATGCACTGTTTGAGCAACCTGATTTTGTTTAGTTTTAACTTTGTTTCAAACATTTTCTTTTATTTGAAATTTTAAAAGGCTGAATGTAAAATTAAGAAGTTTCATTTTTGAAAAAAAAACAACAACATTATTTTAAATGTAAACATTTTAAACACTGTTGCTGCTGATCTGTTACTGCTGAAACTCAACTTTACCTAGATGTGCTTTTTGAAGTTGGTTGGTGAGTTTTTAAACAACAGTATGCTTTTCCAGTTTAATCATTCTTGGTGTCCATATCCGTTTTCAAACAAAATAAGGAAACAAAACTTTACTTAACTTAAACAAGATTTTGGCGCGATTTTAATTTTTTGGTTTAGGTTAGGAAAACGGATAAACAACTTAAAATTTTATTATACACATGTAGGCTGTGCTGAAATGCCCTTTTTCCTCTGATTGTTTAACCAAATCTGAGCTTGTGACGTCGCCCTCAAAATAATAGTCCTCTGCAAATATATTATTTATTTAAATATAGAAACTAAGTTTACATATTATATCATCTGATCGGTTAACAGGCTTAAATTCATTGTGTATGCATAAATTAAATGTAAACCTAAATTAGCAGTATTAGTTTTTATTAGTTGCTTTGGTGCATTTCCCACAACACTATTTACATTTGCATAACAGTTAATGCATTTCTCAAAACAATTAGAAAAAACAGCAAAACGTAGTTGATAACCTGTAAAAGCATGTCACTTTCTCAAAATAAATAGCTCATTCCTCAAAAGCAAGTATTCATTCATTAATTTTCTTGTTGGCTTAGTCCCTTTATTAACCCTCTGGGTCTGAGGGTGTTTTGGGGCTCTGGAGAAGTTTTGACATGCACTGACATTTGTGTTGTTTTCAGTATCTTTAAAACATATTACAGTTTTTCTCGATTGCTTGGATGCAGTTGTCAACTGAAACTCCACATTTTCAAAACAGTTAACACACAGGCCTAAACAGCGGCACTCATGGTCAAAATGACACATTTTGCTTGCAAAAGGCACATATTGTGTCAAAACATTTAACTATGCAACAAAAGCTAGTTTTACCTTCAAACTACACAACTTGCAAACAAGTATATGAGCTCTTTCAATTAATCATTACACAATGGACTACAAAATACAGAACTCAAAATGCACCACCATTGCTTGCCATTGTAGCTTATAGCCAATGGCATTTGTTGTCTCTATTTGGGCTGTCAAATTCGCCTTTTTGCAAAGAATTGGATCAAGAATAAGATGTGCTTTGATTGAATATATATTGAATTCATGACATTTTTCAAACTGTGGCTGAAAACTGAAATACTGTACATAAAAAAACAGACAAAAGTAATAAAATACTGTAAATATTAGAGAAAACACATGTAAACTAATATACTACAGTATAGGACATAGCCATATTGACCTCCTCCATCAATGCTGGCACAGAACAACATAGACCTTCCATCGTTTTTATAAGGTTTGCAGAATGATGGCTAATTGAAGATTTGTGTGAAGGAGTGTCAAACCGGTGCTTCAGTGATTTCATACTGATGTTGGTAGTTTAATAGTTAGGAATAGATGGATTCTGTTTGGTTACCAAAACTAAAACAATGGAGTTTGGACTGCTTGAATGACATCTGTGTTAACTGTTTGGAAAAATGGTAGGGAAAATGTGTCAACCCAATGAGAAAGGGTTTACACATTTGCAAGACCGGTCCTCTGCTCTGCTGGGATAGTGATAATGAAAATGAAGAGGAACCTAGTTTCTTTAACCAGGTCAAAGCAAACAAGAAAAACTGTAATGGCTAAATTGTGATAACACTGTAAACAGCACAAGTTGGGCTGCAATAATACCTAAGCAGCATGTTTGTATGTGTTCGTGTTTTTAAGAAAGGAACGTTTATGCGTGGTAGGGGAAAAACTAAAATTTTGAACCCACAGAAACAAGGCGGTGAAACACACAGAGAACATTTGTGCACAAGACTTTTGAGAACTGGATCTTGCAGTCTAGTGTTTTTACTTTAAAATGATGTGAGAATCATCTTGTTCACTTGCTCACAGAAAACAATATAATGAATAACATTTTCTAAGTCACTTTTTGGCTGAAAATGGTTTATGCGAGAAGGCGTGAACTATCATTACTATGCAGTGAGTAACACCAGAGCAGACAAAGACCTGCATAATGAGCTGCATAATGAGCCATCAGACAGGTATGTGACTAAGAGTTTCAAGAAAGAATCTGAGAAAAAATAAGTTTATATATATATATATATATATATATATATATATATATATATATATATATATATATATATATATATATATATTTGTTTGCAGTTTATTTAAAATATATTTAACTATCACACAAAATAACTCAATACTAGTTGACCTAATAAACTCAGTTACCAAATAGGAATTTTAAACAGAACAGCACCTGTATTGTATACGCTCTACGTTATAGGACACATTTTGTATAGCAATGAAACTATAAGTGGCCTGTAATGCCATATTTCATATAAATCATAAAGGTTAGAATAAAAGACTTATCAACAGGAATTCTGTCCTTTGCTGAGTCTAGACGTTCTTCAAAATGCATGTGCTCGTCATAGAGTCGTGCTCTTCCTCTGAAAGGAGAAGGTAAATTCTTTGTCGCTGTTTAGTACAGCACTTCTGGCAGTAACGTGCCATCATTCAAACAAAATTAAGTAACTATAATAAAACTTGTAGTTTGATGCCATGTCTCGGGGAGCGTGTACATTATCACCTGGCTGGCTCCCTTCACTTCATTTCCATATGAACTGCGGCTTTACTGCCGGCGGGATCACGTTCGATGTAATGAGGCGACAGGAGAATCCGTACCAGCCCTTACTTTTATACGGATTCCATGAAAGGAGATTATTTGTTTTCGACTTGAAGTGGTTAATGCAAAAGTAGACATATCTTTAGAAACATCTTACATGTTTCTTTGTTAAGTATTTGCTGAGTTTCAGTTCATTTTAATGACGTGTTTGTCCTGACACAGTCTACTGTTGCGCGCTCCTCATGCAGGCTACTTGTAATGTCAAAGCTTTGTGGGCGTGGTCGCATTAACTCTAATGAGCTCAGACTGAGAAACTAGACATAGCATTTGTTTCATACTGATTACTTTATCAAACAATATTTGTTTTCAACATGCATAGCTGCATTTAAAAGTAGACACGTCAAGCTTTATAAAGAT